ACGTCGACTTTCCAACACTGTTTCACATCAGCCTGCACCATGTTAACGTTGTACTCCACTCTCTTCTGAATCTTATTAATTATAAGATTCACAATCATATGGGCGGTCACGTTTCTGTGGTCACGTCTGTCGACCTGTTGCATGCAAGTGTGTTGGTAAGTCCATTCAGTTACTTCCCACAAATCATCACATCGTCTGGACTTATTCACCCGAGCCTTCCACAGACAAGGCACATCTGCATTCAATCTGCAGACCAGTTTGAATGACTTCTGATTTGAATCTTTTGTCCGAATCTCCCGCAACCTATCGACGTTCCAAGCCATTAGACCCGTTTGGGCTTCTTCCTTGCTCCAGAAAACTGTACCCAAATTTATGGTCTCAATGTCGCCATTCCAGAGTGGAATAGCATACTCGTTCGCATCTATCCTGGACGGGTCCCATCCACCCATCTCGCGGTGAGTGGAATAGCATACTCGTTCGCATCTATCCGGGACGGGTCCCATCCACCCATCTCGCGGTATATGTGCCGACCACCACTAGGAAATGGGTGTTCTTCTTCGATGAACTCGGTTTCACTCTCCTCATTTACCGATCTATCTGATTCGGTTTCTGAGGTCTCGTCTGTGAAATCATCTTCACCGGGAATAAAATCTTCATCAATATTTTCTCCGTCCTCATCCGCCGCCCATTCTCTCGATGTCCCTTATCCAAAAATAGGTAGATGAGAAGTCGACGTACCCTCGACATCAAACACTCCCCCGTAACAAGGAATAACATCCTCAAACTGTGTAACGGGTGTATTTGCCTGCAACGATAAATGTAAATACACCATGGACATACGAGGAAAGTAATATATCCATTCAAAACTATCGTTATTGAGTATGCGGGATTCCACGAACCATCAGGTTGGCTAATCATCATAGTAATCTCCTGAATTGTCCAACCTTCTTCAAACTGACATTTTGCATTAATCATTTGTACCAACTGTTCATACGATATCCTCCCCGGAATAATAAATGAACCACTCGGACAATCTTTAAATGAAACAAATTCGCTTAACATTTCTTTTCCAAAATGCCAGTACAGATTAACAAGGTATGGACCGGAATAGGCCATTTTATACCTGTTGCAAAAAAACACTTTCAATTCTTTTTCCAAAAAACTCAATTTTTACTCCAAAAAAAAAAGTCCCAATCAGATAATCCTCCAAAACCTTATACTCATAATCGAACAATAACATAAAATTCATCTATAATTCGGATAAACCTAATTTCAAAAAATCCTAACCCCAACAACAACCAGACAATACACAATTGACAATTTACACACAAAATTTCAATCCTCAAATCTACATACACACATAATCGATAATCAATTAACAATTTTCAATCTTCAAATACCACCACATTCAAACATATTATACCAATTCCCAATCTCTAAACAACTTCAAATAATGTAAAAAGTAAAGATAAGCCAATATACCTCGTGCGAATGAATTAACCGAAAATGAGGCTCGTGTCGGTGTTGTCGGTTCACGCCGGGAAGAAAATTGGATCGATTTTATTTTCACGAATGAAGGATTGCAGCTTTGTTCTTTCTTTTTTGCTTGGTGGAGTCTCTATTCGTAAATGAAGTGGAGAAGAAGAGATTTTTTTTTTTTTTTTTATATTTACTTAAAAAACGTATTATGAGAATACGTTTACCGAAAATTTAATTGTAAAACGTATTCTCAA